CAAACTCTGATTCTCAATGAAAACAATCTCATTGGGGAAATTCCTTCATTTGTGTGCAATTTCACATCACTGGAAGTGTTGTATATGACGAGAAACAATTTGAAGGGAAAAGTTCTGCAATGTTTGGGTAATATCAGCGGCCTCCAGGTTTTGACGATGTCACATAATAATCTCAGTGGAGAGATCCCTTCATCTATTTCAAATTTAACATCACTAAAAATTCTAGATTTGGGCAGAAACAATCTGGAGGGAGCAATTCCACAATGTTTTGGCAATATTAGTAGCCTCCAGGCGTTTGATATGCAGAATAACAAACTTTCTGGGACTCTTCCAACAAATTTAGCATTGGAAGTTCACTTATAAGTCTCAACTCGCATGGCAATGAATTAGAGGGGGAAACCCCTCGGTCTTTGGCCAATTGCAAAAAGCTACAAGTTCTTGATCTAGGAAATAATCATCTCAAAGACACATTCCCCATGTGGTTGGGAACTTTGACAGAGCTGAGAGTTTTAAGATTGACATCGAATAAATTGCATGGATCCATAAGATCTTCAGGTGCTGAAATCATGTTTTCTGATCTTCGAATAATAGATCTCTCTTACAATGCCTTCTAAAGACTTACCAACGAGTCTGTTTCAACATTTGAAAGGCATGAGGACTATTGATCAAATAATGAAGTCACCAAGTTATAAAGGAGGTGGAGTTAACTACCAAGACTCGGTAGTCATTGTAACAAAGGGATTGAAGCTTGAAGTTGTGAAAAATTTGCCTTTGTACACAGTTATTGATCTTTCAAACAACAAATTTGAAGGACATATTACTAGTGTTCTAGGAGATCTTATTGCGATTCGGGTACTGAATTTATCTCATAATGAGTTGCAAGGTCATATACCACCATCACTTGGAAGCTTATCTGTAGTAGAATCATTGGACCTTTCATTTAACCATCTTTCGGGAGAGATACCACAACAACTTGCTTCTCTTACGGCTCTTGAATTCTTAAATCTTTCCCACAATTATCTCCAAGGATGCATCCCTCAAGGACCTCAATTTCGTACCTTTGAGAGCAATTCATATGAAGGTAATGATGGATTACGTGGATTCCCCATTTCAAAAGGTTGTGGCAATGATCCTGTGTCGGAGACAAATTTTACAGTATCTGCGCTAGCTGATCAAGAAAGGAATTCTGAATTTCTCAATGATTTTTGGAAAGCTGTTCTGATGGGCTATGGCAGTGGACTATGTATTGGATTATCCATAATATATTTCATGATCTCAACTGGAAATATGAAATGGCTTGCAAGAATCATTGAAGAACTGGAACACAAAATTATCATGCGAAAGAGAAAAAAGCGGCAAGGTCAAAGGAATTACAGAAGAAGAGATAATCAATCTAGGCAAGTTATCAATAAAGATGGATTTGATTTCAGAACTTCAGGTATTCAAGCTAAGATCTACGCTCATCTTTTTTAGTTTATTTTAACTACTAATATATTAGTTTACATGTTTTTTGTTAATAACAACAACTAATTAATGCTCAATATGAAGCATATTTGTTTTTCCAACAACTTCAAGAAACTAAAGATTTGAAAAGCTTGGAAGTTGTTATAACAGTGGCTACTAAATTCAATCAGTGATCAACTCTCAAGTATTTGACTCACTATCTTATTTTTTCAGATGCCGAGAATAAGAAGATGTTGGCGTAATGGATTTGATTTTTAGTTTCTTTTTAGTTTTATTAAGTAAGATTCTTCTTAACTTGGAAAATGTAATATTATGAATTTTTGATGATATATAAAGTTTATGTAAGTTTCTAACGTTATTCAATAAATGTTGTGTATTGAATGAATGTATACATTTCTCTGATCCCTAACTTACAATTCAAAGAATCTAAGAGGGACTTAGTCATGAATAAATTTTCACTCGTTATTAACAAGGAAGAATAACGAGTTCGTGACAAGTGATTACATTTACTGGCCAAGGGAATTGCTTTAATGGATATGAGAACACAAACAATTTGGATTTGATGATCATAACAGAGCTGTGTTTCAAATTTCTTTTAGAATAAGTTTGGAAGAATATTTTAAAAATAGTCTTGAAGATTGAACAATTAAGTTAATTTGAAAAATGCCTCAAAAACTCAATTAATATGGAATGGAGGGAGTATCATTTATCTTTAATAACATAAACATAAATTAATGACTGTAAAAATATATATCAGGATCTGTAACATAAGCAATTGTGTCAGTGAACCACTCAACAGAAGCAGAAGAAGAATAAGAAGAAGAAGAGAAGGAGGAGGAGGTTCAGAATTTTCGTTGTTTTAAATGAGAGGAAATCCCTCTATTTATAGATAACAAAGGGTAGTGTGAACAAATGCTTATTGTGCCTTATCAGAAAGGTTATAACTATTTGGAAAGTTGCAACCCTTCGGAAAGGTCATAACCTTTCATAGAAGTCACAACTTTTCATAAAAGTCGCAAGTCTTCATTAAAGTCGCAATTTTTCATAAAAATCGAACTTTTCATAAAAATCACAACTTTTCATTAAAGTCGCAATTCCTTAAAGTCGCAAATTTTCATAAAAGTCACAACTTTTCATGAAAGGGGAAGACTAATTTTGAAAATAAATAAATTAAAAGGAAATTCTGGTTTGTGGTGGCACCACGTAAGCGGGTCTAAGGTTCTCTTTTATATATATACTAGGTAATTTACCCGCGCATCTTTCTAAGCTTTTGAACAACATTTCCAAAAATCGACTATTATAAGAAAAAAAAAGTAAATATATAATGAATGATTAAAAATATCTTCATATCTAATCATTTTTATCTTTTACATAATTTATCATAAGATATGTGATGATATAATTGTCTTGTTAAAACTGAGTGATGTTTTTATGTAGTGATTAAACATCATTTTTTCTATTTTTTTGTACATGAAAAATATAGAATCTGATAATTTTATGGTTAGAATAACTCCTTGTGAAAAAAATTAGGTGAAAGTTTTTGATAATCAATATTAGTTATAAATAAGTTAAGACCGTTAAAAATGTACACCACAACAACATAAATACATTTTTTTAGAGACAATATACTTCTCTGAGGTCAAACGTTCACCACTTTTCGTTATTATTACTTTGTTACTCTAACAAAATATATAGAAGGAGAAAAATAAATTTGAAACAACAGCAAAATAATATTGTTGACCCTTTTTAGAAATTCATTCTTTATTAAACTACAACTCTGAAGGCCCTTCTAGATGCTTCATCATGGCAACTTTACGACTTTTTCATAAATATGTATGTATAATTGTTGCATTATGAAAGTACAAGTAGATCAAAATGTTGGATTCTAGACTTATGTTAAAGAAATATTCTCGAACATGAAAAATTAAAAAATGAGTCTAACCTAGATAACTCAAATGCTCAGCAATGACTTGGGACATGAAGGACAATAAATCTATGTTAATAGACATATCTTTTTGTCGCTTAAAATATTACTTTTATTTAGAGTAGGTTTTGTTTCATATCTTTCAAATTAAGCTTGCCGAAAATAGTCATAACTAACACCAAAAATATTTAGTAGAGCTGAATGAGAAGGAAAAAAAGAAAACATTAAAAGGATGAAAGCTTTGTCCAAGTAAGATCATATACATACCAAACAAAAAATAATCAATACAATTTTAAGGAGTCAACAAAACAACGAGAAAAAAAAGACGAAAGCTTTGTCCAAGTGAGATCATATACATACCAAACGAAAAATAATCAATACAATTTTAAGGAGACAACAAAACAGCGAGAAAAAAAATACATTAAACGGAGTAAACTATGATATATCCAATGATGATAACAATTCATTCTAACCAAGAAATTTCACATGTTTTGAAATAACATACCTCAAAAAATTAATTAACACTTTCATCAACTTTCAATCTTTAAAGTACTCATAATATCCACTGATAAAATTTAGTAAAAATAGATAACAACAACATAAAAACCAAATAATATGGGCATGCTAAGTTATTAACTCTCAGAGAATTTTCTAAAGAACACAAAATCTCGTCCTTGAATGTGAAGGGATGACATTGTTGATGAAGAAATTAGAGATTTGTAAGGGCTTTTTTATTGTACCTTCAACAATTACAGTAGAGAAAACTTGCTTAAAATACTAACAACAATGTTTAAAGCATGTACTCAAAAATAACAATTAATAATATAAGCATAAATTAATGACGGTAAAAAACATATCAGATCTGTAACAATAGAATGAAACAGCATGGAAAAAATCAAACCCACTGAATGTACAGTGTCCCCTTAAGAAAATTATTCTTATCTAGTACCCGAGGTTTAAAGGAATACATCCTCTCAGGATAGAACAATTCTATTCACCAGTGTATTGATAAAAAACAATGGTGTCAGTGAGTCATTCAACATGAACAAAATACACAAATATTTAATTTTCCAAAAGTAGAAGATGTTCAAAATTTTCGTTATTTTAAAATGAGAGAAAATTCTTCTATTTATAGACAATAAAGAATAGTGTGAACAAATGTTTATTGTGTCTTATCGGAAAGGTCACAATTCTTTAAAAAAGTTAAAACCCTTCGGAAAAGACACAACCTTTCATAAAAGTCACAGCTTTTCATAAAAGTCACAACTTTTCATTAAAGTAACAACTCTTCATAAAAGTCGCAATTCTTCATAAAAGTTGCAACTCTTCATAAAAGTTACAACAATTAAAAGGAAATCCTTTTTTGTGGTAGCGCCATGTAGGCAGGTCTAAGGTTCTCTTTTATATATATATATATATGTGATATGATAGGTGATTACTTCCCATCTGCCTAACCACCAGTGGCACAGTTGCCCAATACCTATGTTGGTGGGAGGTAACAGGTACCCGGTGAAATAATCGAGGTTTGCATAGGTTGTTTTTGGATACCACCATTATTAAACAAAATGCACACACACTAGCACATGAAAGTAAAAAATTTCATGACAAGGGATGAAAGAAGGTCATGCCAAGATTGACTTTATCAAATGACAAATACATTGTTTGTAGCTTTTGGACAACCATTTATCACTCAAAGAAGACCAACAAGTGATGCATCACAGCATTCTTGGAGCAAAATTATGTACATAAAACTGACAGTAATCATGCTTTATATATGGTGAAACTCCATAAGAACTAGTCCAAGATATTGACATCAAGGATTTCTAAGTGCAGCCAATCTCTTCCCAGTTCATCGATCCCCGAACTGCCAGCACGACAACAACGAAATGTACATGAAGCGAGTTAATGAGATCAAAGAGCATGAAAAAAACACTTCATACATTCACAGTGCCGTCAGAGGATGCAGATGCAAAAACAGCTTTTTGCTGAGACACCATGATCGCCGTGATGCAGGTAACACCTTTTTTGTGGGCTTGTGGCACTTGTAAGACATATCTTCACTATCGGCAAAAATATAATTAGTCAAGCAGGAGAACTGGCTGTAATTGAACATTAATCAAGTGTTGTTTCTTTAAATTCTCAAGCAAAGACTACAACTAAATGCCTTCTTTTACCCACTCAAGGAAGACAAAAGAAAATTCAGGACTCAGAGAAAAGAGATGCTATATTAGCATTGTGTTTTTAAGACAAGAAAATATGAAGGACTTAAAGGCAAATACATGTTTTTGATGAAAAAGGTAAAGAGACAAATACATCTTTAAGAAGAATAATAAGAAAATCAGAAAACAAATTGTAGCTATTTTATCTGTCCATTCTATAGTCTTGGTGACAAGTTTCAAGGATACTGGCTTACCATCTCAAACTATCTTTTCATCCCCTCCCCCTCTCTCTCAATCCAAGAAAATGAAACATTTTTTAGTGTATCATTCTTTCCTATTGGGGGTTGAGGGAATCAGTGTAGGGTCAGTGGCGGAGCCACCTTACAATGAGGGGGGTCATCTGACCCCCCTTTAGCGGAAAATTATATGATTTATACATGGTTAAAATAATTTTTTAGGTATATATAGTAGATGTCGACCCCCCTTCGGCTATTTCGTGTGTCTATATTTTTAGATTTTGAACCCCCTTACTGAAAATCCTGGCTCCGCATCAGTGTAGGGTAACAAGAGAATGTTGGAACAAGCACATGACTACCTTCACATCCACAAGAGAATACTCCCACAAAATTATTACACCTTCCGCATCTCCAGAAAGCAAAAATGTTGTTCCAGCTGCTTAGCTGCAATACACAAAGCTTTACTTAATAACTGATAGAAGCTGCAGTGACAAACCTTCGGAACATTTGTTCATAGAAGCGAGGAAATAAAAACTTCTCTAGAAAAGGAAATAATTTGGGTGCGTTCTCATATTCAATAATACTAAAACAACAATATTCCCAGTGAGATTTCACTAGTGGGGTCTGGGAAGGGTAGTGTGTATGCAAAACTTATCCTTACCTTATAAGGTGATATTCAATAATACACTACAGAAATAAAAAGAGATAATTACAGCTTTTCTCTCACCAACAATAAGGAAAAAGAACGTTTTATAAATTGCTCATTGTTTGTACATTTAGCAAACTATTTACATTTAGCTTGAATATCCAGTCATTACAACAACAACAACATACACGGTGTAATCCCACAGGTGGGGTACAGGGAGAGTGGGGAGGGTAGAGTGTACGAGACCTTACCCCTACCTCATGGAGGTAGAAGCTGTTCCCGAAAGACATGTAAAATATTTACATATTTAGCGACTCGACAGAAAAGGTGATTAGTGAAGCAGGTAATTTGTGTATGTTATAGAACAACTAAGTTAAGTGCAAAAGCCATACTGGGGGAAAAAAGGGCAAATATTATGAGTAAGTAAAAGATCTAACATAATATTAGTAAATTAAGGTTCCTTAGATCTTTCATCTCCTGATTTTCAGCTGAAGTATTGTACTATGAACAGCTAATGATACTAGTCCTCCACAACCACTAACTTTTATAATTAAGACTAGACTAGTAAAATAAGTTAGAAGTAACCTAATTAGTTAATGAAGCCATTATTTACACCACTTATAGCAACACAAATTATACTCCCTCCGTTTCAATTTGAGTGTCTTAGTTTGACTACGCACGCTAAGAAAGTAACGGAGATTTTTTAAATCTTGTGATCTTAAAGATGACATGTAATATGTTGGATTTAATGAGTTGGTATATATAGAAAGAGGCATTCTTTTTTACGAAGACTAAAAAATAAAATAACACATAAATTAAAATGGAGTACTTACCTTCCATCTCCTAACTCTCCAATTCTGCAACCTAACTAACTATGCTGGAACAACTGTATCAAGGCCAAATATAAGCACAAATATCTAACACCTTGTTACATGTTACCAGTTTCAAAAAAAAAATCTAACACTTTGTTTGGATGGTTGTTGTTTCATAATGTCTCGTATTGCATTATTTTGATGGATACAATGACCGGATAGATTAAATTATTTTCCGTTGTTACATAATGTCACACATCAATAATTTGAAGGATAAATCTACAAGTAAAAATAGGGTATGGGGTGGAGTTACCATAAAAAATATGGTTAAGCATAAAATATGATAGGTAAAAACAAAATGAGGAAAAAAAAAGGGAATGACGGATCACACCAAGGTGGTCTTAAACAAAATGGGACTTTTCATCTTACCTAAAGATTAAATGATACAATACAATAAAATTTAAGGTACTATCAAAACAAACATTATATTTAAACTAACAATACAATACAAGGTAACGTGTGATCCCACCAAATCGGTTTTATACAAAATGGGACTTTTCGTCTTACCTAAAGATGAATTTAACGCTACCATACGATAAAAATTATAGAACAATCAAGACAAGCGCTAAATTTAAACTAACAACACAATACAATACACTAGGTAACAACCATCCAAACAGGCTGTAAAGTAAATAAAAAATGGTAACATGCGATCCCACCAAATCAATCTTATATTACCTAAAGATGAATTTAACGCTACAATAAGATAAAATTTAAGGAACAATCAAAACAAACATTATATTTTAAACTAACAACATAATACAATACAATACAATTGGTAATAACCATCCAAACAGGCTGTAAGTTCTTTTTTAAAAAAAGGCAGTACCTTTGAATGCAAACTTGCTATTGGGAAGCCAAAGGGTACAATTCACAGAAGCTTTATGACCAGGTAGTGTAGTCAAGATTTGAGCTGTCTGATTAAGAAATATACAAACATAAATTTCAAAAAGTTAATACAAATATTCAAGCTGAAGTGGAAAAAGAAGAACCTTTGGACAGAAAATAGCTACAGCATTTTGGGCACCAAAAGAAACTAAACCAGAAGCACCCCATGAAACGTTATTCACTACTCTATTACACCCTGCTCCAATAAAAACTCTCTCTACTTCCATATTTTGCATAATTTGAGTGGATTCGCCGCGACGGCAGTGTGACGACGGAGAAGGAGGAGTTACAGTAAGATGACGGAGCAAAGATGGAGGCTTTTCTCTATTCCGTTAACTTTGATTCACGGTAGATGTGGGGGAGTTGCAGTGAGATGACGGAGCAACGGTGGAGGTTGACGGCGGCGGAGATTTTTACTCGCTGCCGGTAACGGCGGTGTGACGGCGGGAGCAGAGAAGAAGCAATTCAGTAGAATTAACAAATCTTATTTTCAAGGCCCAAATAAACCCAAAACTGACCCATGTAGGTAAGCCCAATATTTTATGGACTCATATTGCTTTTGACCCATTTAATTGTACGGTTTGTCTAGTCTTTAATTTTTGTTTTTCGTAATCGAATAAATATCTAATGAGTATTAAGTTTTTTTTAAATATGGGACATAATTTAAAAGATATTATAATGTAAAAATATAAACTTATGTCCTGTGAATTCTTTTTTTAATCATGAAGAATAAAAATTAAAGACTAACACAACTTTTTATTTTGACCAGCTGATTTATGGCAAAATTTTCATAAGACAATTTGTTTTAACATCTTCATTAAATGTGTATCTTTATTTATTTTTTTAAAAAAACTACATATATTATCACTTAAGATACGCGATGTCAGAAGCTAAACTTGACAAAGTTTGAAGTTATATATGACTACTCAATTTCAATCATTTTTGCCTAAAGTTCAATCATATTATTAAAAAAATAACAAAGTTGATAATTTAGAGGTTAAAACAAAAATATTTAAGTAGTTGAGTGACTTTGTAAGTAAATAGACATGGTTAAGCGATGTTTATATTACCAACAAAAAGAAACATCTTTTGCTAGGTAATTTTGAATTTTTGGATGATCTGAGTGCTAAACTCAATTTTTATTTGTAATCCACTTCAGACTCAATAATCGTCTAATTCATACATTACAAATTGTAACCCATTATATATATATATATGAAAAAATCAATAAAAAGACAAACAAAATAACCCAAATTTAACTTAAGAATGATAAGATTTTTTCTAATAAAATACAGACAAACAAAACGTGAATAAAAAAGAGTAAAAAAGGGCAGCCAAATCTATTCTATATATATTGAACTCCTAACTTGAATCTTAAATTATTATAATATCCCTAACTTAGGTTGTGCCTTTTTCGATGAGTTGTGACTTTTCTAAAGTGTCATGACTTTTCCAAGGAATTGTGACTTTTTCAAAGGATTGTGACTTTCTCAAAGAGTTATGACTTTTTCGATGAGTTGTGACCTTTTTGAAGGGTT